GAATGTTCATCGCGCGCTTCTTCCAAGGTCTTCGAAGCTCATTTTCAATAAGCAGAATTGTCGATTTTGGATTGAAGATCACCAAAAGTGATGGGGAGAATCGTGAATGGTGAGCACAACCGCGAGATAATATCCAATTTTTCCCCCCAAAATGCACGAGCTTAACTTGCATGACAAGTTGTTCAAACAAGACCGTGCCACATGCCATTCAACAAGTGAGGGAATCGTACAATTGAGAGGCGAGTTCAGTGAGAGTCAAAACGAATAAAGATAGGAAGCTAAAATGTTGTACAAATCAGTCTTTTCTCTGCAGGAAGAACAAATTCAAATATGGGCAACATTGTATCATATAACGGTACCTCCCGATATTCGGTATTTTAGTTATTGCAGCCAAATTTTTCAATGAAATTGTCTGAAAATCCTCAAACGGAGCTCCTTCTGAGTACTTTACCCCCTGTAAGAGTATTGCCTATATAGTTCCGCGATATCATATATTTCCCATTTAACGGTACCCCAATATTCGGTATTTTCATGATTTTAGCCACATTTTTCCATTGAAGTGTCTAAAAATCCATACTAGAAGTTCATTCTAAGCACTTAACCCCCCTGAAAGAGAAATGTCTATACAGATCTACGATATTGTACAGGGTGAGATGAAAAAAACTGTAACCAACTTCAGACTCCCGACATTCCTAAGCCACTCGCCCGGCAGCTGTTAAAATTACTCCAGTGACAGTTCATTATATTTTTTACAAGCGTACAAAAGCATTTTGGTGAAAATTTTCCCGAAAAAAAAGTTATTCGTGATGGAATTCAGGCGTGATAGTCTGATTTATTTATATTTGGCTAGAAAACCACAAGCGGCTATCGTTAGAGCACTACAGCATTTAAATGTGTATAAATCTTTTGTGTCTCGTACCATCGCTCGTTACCGTGATACTGGTCGCGTAGCTCGACGTCAAGGAAGTGGACGGAAGAAAACAGCAACATCTGCAGAAGTAGTTCGAAAAGTAAAGAAGCGACTTGATCGAAACCCGCGTGGCAGTGGCCGAAAAATGGCTCGTGAGCTGAACATATCGCAATATTCCATTCGGCAAATATTGAAAACTGAGCTCGGGATAAAGCCATTGAAATTCAAAAAAGTGCAAGAACTTACACTGCAACAGAAAGAAAATAGACTCAAAAGAGTTGCTTCGCTTGGTCGAAAGTTGTGAACTGCCGAATTTGGTTTTCTCCGATGAGAAAACATTTGTTGTCCAGCACGCGCCACCCAAGAATGGTTACAAAATAAGGTTCCTCGCTTCATTTGCAGCTCACAATGGCCACCAAAATCTCCGGATTCCAATCCGTTGGACTATTGTGTCTGGAGTATTTTGGAAAGCAAGGATGGCACTAAAAACTACCAAAGTGTCGATTACATCATACAAGCGCTTCTCCGGGAATAGATCAAAATACTGCAAAGCTGACCGATTCTAACAAATCTAAACTTATTCTAAAATGTGATGCTATTTCCGACATTGTTTGCTTTTATTCAATAAATTTAAAAAAATATATATGTAAAAATTGTGGCGTTTGACTTTGTTGCAGTTCTTTTATCTCACACTGTATATGTTTAATCCGGCTTGGTGTTAAAGTCCCTTATAAGCGTTATATGCACTCCACAACAATGAAATTTTATACCGGACATCAAATACAGAACGAAATTATTTTATCGAGATGGGTTCAGATTTTTATATACATTCGATATACATCTTCATACGATTTTACGGTTATTGTCGTATATACGTAATATCAGGTCAAATTGAATAAATTCTCAATACAAACTTTTTTGTTATGGGAGCTCTACCAAAAAATGCATAGTGGTGTAGGGTATCATATAATCGGTTCCTTACTGGTTTCTGTTATTTATTTATTTATTTTTTTTTAATATAATTCGCTCTGATCTGGCTATATATCTATATTCGTCAAATTTAATATTCATTGTTTGTTATCAATGTATTTAGTTTTCAAACAATTTATTTAGATATGTATGGCCGTTTCTCCCTGAAACAGTGAGCAAAACTGATAATGATTTTTAATACATATTTTCAAATATGTATGCTTTCAAACAAACAAACACTTTATTTTGCTATGCGATTATTTCACTCTCTTTCCATGGGCTAGGTCTTCAGCTGGTGCTGGTGCTGTCTTTTTTTCAATGGTAACCAAGTGAAATTGTTAGAATTTGCAAGAATTCTCTTACTTATCAACTGATAAGAACTGCTGCTACTCACATAGCTCGATTGCTGACACACGCATTCTAGGAGTGTTTTGTACTTTCCTTTTCAGAAAGAGATCACTCCCTTGTTGAAATTTGTTTGGTTTATTTTTTCAGGTCTGATAGGTTGAATGCTTCTTAAAGTAGAAAAATATTTTAAAACATAAGACAGTATGTCACAGAATACGGTGAAGATAAACACGTCAAAGTCATAGCTACTTATTTTACGTTGTGAAAAAAGAAACACAGTTGTTTTAAAGAAGAATTTCGCGTTAGTTCTAACATTTCAGTGTAAAAATCGAATAAAAAAGAATTTCACTTTAATTCTAACATTTAAGTGTAAAAAATCGAATAAAAATACTGTGATACGTTAATATACTTATTAAGTATTGTCTAATAACAGGTGTGTTCCATAATGGTAAAACCAACATGGTTGTTAACCTCAGATATTCATAGAAGTTATATACAAATCTGAACCGATCTCTATAAAATTTGGGAAAGGTATTTCTGTGCTGTATTTGATATATTTCCCCAAATATCGTTGCTACAGAGTGCAAATTACGGCTGTGATGGACAAAAATATCATATCGGACGAACAATATATATGGGAGTTATAGCTATGTCTGAATCGATTTCGAGCAAATTTGGTATGCTTATTTCCAGGCTGAATTTGGTCGTATATGAAAAATTCCATACAGTTTGGGCTGATATTACACGTTTGGTGCACAATAAAAGCAAATCGGAGGAAGATATATATGGAAGCTATATCTAAATTTTGACGGATTATCTCCAATTTCAATAGGGGTTGTCCTTGTGTAAAACATATGACTTGTGCAAAATTTCATCTGGGTCGGGCAATAAATGCGGCCTGCACTTTGTTTACAAAAATACATGGATAAACAGACGGACAGACGGACAGACGAAGGGACATGTATAAATCGACTCAGAATGTGATTCTATGCAGATCATCAAAACGAACTATGGGCCTATCTCGTTTCCTTTTACCTGTTACAAACAAATGCACAAAGACATAATACCCTGATCACACATTGTGGGATAGGATATATAACTTCATTCCCAATACAAATTCGGCAGCTCAAATATGCAAAGTCCAAAAAGCGAAGCGGAAGATCCCTCTACAGTGGCCAATTGAAATTTCAGCTTATCTTAAACAATTATTAACCGGTGAAATTATATCACTGCTATGACAAATTATTAGTGCAGTTAATTTGTTTATTTTCTCTAATCTCGTTATAATTTCAAAAATATTCCGATGATTCATTACAGAAAATCCCCCTGGATTTCGTAATGTTAATAATTTAATCAGTTGTCGCATTATTATCAAAAATGCCTTCAAAACGCCACCCCACACGTACTGATGTGTTGTGTTTGGTATATGGAATTGGATTGCTCTTCTACATGACAATAGATAAATACGTATATTAGTAGAACTCGTTATTTCGGAAATAAAAATACCTTCAGATTATTATTTGAATACCGTCCACCATTTGGGACGAATTTTCAAAAAAAAATCCGATAAAAATTCTGTTAAAATCATAAAAATACCGAATGTAGCCGTTATTTTAGCGTCTATACAACGATGTGGACCTGCATAGGCAACTTTTGTCATAAGCCATTACAATATTCAAATGCGAAACAAAATCGGTGAATAGTGTAGCTAAAATCATCAAAGTACCGAATATCAAGAGGTACCGTTATTTGGGGGGTATACAAAGACGTGGACCTGTCATAGGCTGTAGTATCCATTACGGACTTCAAATACCAAATTTAAAAAAATGTCGGTAAAAATTGTCGCTAAAATCATCAAAGTACCGAATATCGGGAGGTGCCGTTATATGGGGGCTATACGAAGACTTGGACCTGCAGAGACAATTTTCTATTTTAGGCTGTAGAATCCGTTACGAACTTCAAATACCAAATTTGAAACAAAAATTGTCGTTAAAATCATCAAAATACCGAATATCGGGAGGTACCATTATATGGGGGCTATACCAAAACGTGGGTCTACAGGGCCCATTTTCAATACCAAAAGTCCTGCAGACATAATATACATTTTAGTAAAATTTCATCAATCTACTTCATTTCGTTCGGAAGCTAGAGTAATTTCCACAAACGGTCAGACGTATAGACGGAGGGACATAGCTAAATCGACATAGAATTTTATACTGATCAAGAGTATATACACTTTGTGGGGTCTAATATGTAAATTTCGAGGTTTTACAAACGGAATGACAAACTTAATATACCCTCCATACTATGGTGGAGGGTGGTATAAAAACTGCATTTTTCTTAAAATGACCCATTAAAACCAGAATTACTTCTTTAAAAAATAAACTAATAATTCAACAACCCCAGTACAACATCCTCCCTCGAATAACAACAAGTTTTGATATCCAAGCAATTTAATGCACGTTTTCCAAATATTTTCAAGAAAGTACCTTTGGATATCTGAAAGTTTAGACATTTTTTATATTATCCATATACATTTTTTAGCACTTTTCCTATTGAATTATTTATTCTTTTATTTATTATTATTTAATTATTTTAATTATCTGGAATGTTTATCGACTTTCCTTTTAAAACAATTACTACAGATAGAAATTATATTTTTCAGATCACATGATACACATGATTTAAAACTATCAATAAACATAAATTCTTTTTTCTATAAATTATAAATAATAGTTCTAATCAACAATACCTTCTTATCTTTTCGTTGCAGGGAATACAATTCAATACAATAAATTCCGTTCCTTTTTTTTATCAAAAAGACAATAACAGATAATCAGCTTTTTCGGCCTCAACAATAATTTGCAACAAACTACAGGAATTTTCCCACAAACTAATCTCCAGAATTTCCGATCCATCCAAAATACATCCATAGTCGTCCATAAAGTACTTAATTTTATCTAATTAAAAGCAACGCACACACACACACAAATAATTTATTCAACACCCCATCATCACCAACCAGCATCATCATCCTGATCTATTGTAACAAGTCCACCAAAGATAATACTTTCTCCGATGACCAAAACGGTCGTTAACAAAGAGAAAGTGGACACCACCTGCTACTGCTGCTGCTGCTACGGTACGGGCCAAGAAATTAGTGCAGTCAACAACAACATTAACATCGTTCACAGCATTCTGCTGAACACAGGACATTCGTACGCTGCCCGAGCAGATCTCAATTATCGTGTTTAAATCGAACGTTAAGTGAAGGGGAATCACCCGATCCGCCCGATTTGTGGTCAAACAAAGCAAAGGCGCTAAATAGCAAAAACAAATTCTTAGATTTCTTTCTTTAATTTTGAACGGCTTCAAAACGGCGGGCACAGTGCTAAAAGTTGTTGGTGCATCATGGCAAAAGACCCGGATTGGGACTTACATACTTATCGGTGCCGGTTTATTGGTTATAGGTGCCTTCTTCATCGGTTACATTGAGAGGCCAGAATATGATGGCACGTATTGTGCCACAGCATTTTGGACCAAACAAGTTGGCTTCCAAATCGAATATTGGAAACAACAAAATGATCTTCTTAACATTCCAAAAGGTGCTGCTAGAATATGCTATAAGGATTCCATATATGAGAATGGGTAAGTTGTTGCTGTTGCTATACCTCATTTCCATTCGTAACTAAAGTATTAACATGTTTCCTTTCTCGTTTTCCCATAGCTGGGCTCAAATCGAAATTGAAACTCAACGTTCCTTTCCCGATTGGGTGCAGGCCTACGGTGCTGGCATAATTGAGGGATCATTAACCTGGCATCAAATCTACAACCAATGGGTCAAGTAAGTTTAAGCCTCACATTTCCCATATGTATAAAATATCTAAACCATTTTTCTATTATCTTTACAGCACAATACAATCATCCTGTGAACGCGATGAAGATGCCCAAAACTTTTGTACCTGGCTACGAGATCTGTTAACCGAAAATTATATAAAAATCAAAGAGACTGCCCTCCTTAGGCAAGACTTGGAACACTATTGGCACCAAATTGGATTATTCTTCTTTCAATTGGAAGGTCTTGAGACTGGCTATCGCAAAGGGGCAAAGAGAGCTCGTTCTGATCTGGAGGAGGAAATACCCTTCTCGGATTTTCTTTTGATGAATGCAGCCGCCGATATTCAGGATCTAAAAATTTACTATGAAAATTTTGTGCTCAGCAGCGGCAGTAACGCAACAACATCTACATCAACTGGGGCGGCAGAAACGGTGCCAAGAAAGAATTTCTATCTGCCCATGGCTTCAATGCTTACAAAAATCTTCCCATCCGATAATTCAGGTTCTTGGCAGCTATTGTTCGGCCATAGCACGGCTGGCAGCTATGCCTCCATGTTAAGAATCCAAAAACGCTACAAATTCCATTATCACTTTGGCCCCAACCAACGGACCAATACAGTGCCCGGTGTTGATATAACATTCACCGGTTATCCAGGCATTTTGGCGTCAACAGATGATTTTTACATTGTTAAGGGCAGACAAGTTCAGTCGGTTGTGGCTGGTGTGGGCATGAAAAATGAGAATTTGGATCTATGGAAATCCGTCAATATCAATCAAGCAGTACTGTTGTCGGCCCGTGTAATGGCTGCCAATAGAGTTGCCCAAAATCGTCGAACATGGGCCAAAGCCATGTCCAAGCATCCTTACACCGGTTCCAAGCAATGGATTAGCATTGATTTAAATAAATTGGGACCCTTAGACTCACTCTATCAAACACTGGCCGAAGATGATAGTTTCGACGACAAACCTGCCCCTCTAGACCCCAAGGACGAGGCGGTGATTTCTGAACTTCACAATCGTTACAAAGGCCTAATATGGATTGCCGAACAATTGCCTGGTCGCATGCATATGAAGGATGTTACTGAACGATTTATAAATGACAATAGCACAGCGTGGCTAGCTAATGGGGTACCATTTTTCGATGAGTTGCTTGAGGTTAGTAAAGTCAACGTGGATAGCTATCCCAACGATTTATTGCCGACAGACAATGAGAAGCTCACCAATTTGGAGGCTGTGGATTCATTTCTAAGAACGCATGGCTTCCGTGGTGATCTGTTAGGTGATGAGGAATCTCTGGCTTATGGTAATACGGATATCAAACTTTTTGCCTACAACGCCCGACTGGGCATTAGTGATTACCATGCATTTGCCGGGCCAGTGTTTATGCGCCTGCAACACATGCAGCCCCGTTCAATACCGGAACCATCTAATCCCGAGGGTCCCATAAACTCTTCCATTCTTGATGATCGCTTAAGTGTGACCATCGACGATGCTGCCGAACTGGCTGAAATGGAAATGATTACTGAACGCCGACCAGTACGCAATGATATGCGGGCAATAGCAATGCGTCAAACTGGGGCTGGTCCCTTCAAATGGTCCTCGGTGTATGAGAAAATGTCCGACATAAAACATGCTGGTCATCCGGATGAATGGAATTTTGGCAAAGTAACACCAAAATGGGCGTGGTAGCGCGCTCTCACTGTCATCCAGCCAAAACAGTGCCATCCATCATATCCAAAACACTCCTAATTCCTCATTTTGAAACATCACTTAACCATAGCTCATCGACTAAGCAATATATTTTTATTAAGTAATTTTTTTTTATATAGTAAATGTTTTTAGAGCAATGTTTAAATAAAATATTAAGAAGTGCGTTTTTATACGAGAAACATTTTTACAAATAAAAAAAGTCATCATGAAAACTGGATTTTTTTTGAAAGAAATTTGAAACAAGTTGTAAAGTTTGCATCCAAAAAAAGAAGAAAAAATTTTAGTGCTATATTAGTATGTATATTAATTGTGTCCAATATAACTGTGTTCGTCATCCATAGTTGTAAATGTGATATACAAATTTATAGAGTTAATTGTAAATGTTTGAATGTTCAAAGTCTTCCAGTTTATAACGAAACAATTGTGCTTTTTATATCTATATTGAGAAAGAGTAGAAAATAATAGGCATCTATTTGATGACGTACGAAAAAAAAGCAAATAAAAATCAATTGCGAAAAAAGGTATACCCAATTTGAAAACAAGGTGTTTTAATTTATGTGTTCGAAGAGGGGCATCATATATCTGTAATAGAGATGTGTGAGGGATCGACGGACCAGTAACGTTCTCCTGTGTTTTATTCTAATTTCGCCCTACCAAACGTTGCCTATTTTAAAATAAGTACTGGAAACTAGTGTCTATAGCTAACTTTACTTACTTTAAATTTGTAAATTTTCAATGCATGTTTATAAATTTTAAAAATCATCACTACAACTACGTTCTTGCAATATTTTATAACTTTTCATGCGAGGTGTAATTTTGTGATTCTGAATATTGATTGATTAAATTTGTTTTAATTTTATGACTTAACTCAGCAAAATATGGAAACAACATCGTCCTATAACTCGGAAACTAACTTTACTATTTTTTTTTTTTACTTTACTAACTTTTCGTGTAAAGGAACGACTTTCTATTAATAATATGAAAAAGCACGTTCCAGAACTGAGCTAAGTGAACAAAGTGCGACCTGTCCAATTTAATAAATACAGGGTGAGATGGAAAAACTGCAATAAACTTCAGACTGCTGTCATTTCTAAGCCACTTTTCAAGACAGAATTGTAAACTATTTTCAACTTTATAATGTTTATATTTTATAAAATCTTCACTACAACTACGATCTTACAATTTTTTATAAGTTATCACCTTTTTTATGCGCGGTGTAATTTTGTGATTCTAAATATTGATTAAATTTGTTTTAATTTTATGATTTAACTCAGCAAAATATAAAGACAACATTGTCCTATAACTCGAAGAAACTCGGTAATTTATACAAACTCATTTATGGTACAATTTTTGCTTGAGAATTTTCCATGGACATCCTTGAGAATGCGGTCAGAAATTCGGCAAAAACTTTTGATTTTCACCCATACTTTTTTATACCCTACACCACCATAGTGGTACATTTGATGGTAACATGGAGAAGGAAGCGAGATAGACACATAGTTACTTTTGAGGATCTTCATAGAATCCCTTTCTAAGTCGATTTATGCATGTCAGTCCGTCTATACAGGTATTATGGCAAACAAAATGCAGGTCGCATTTATTATCCGACTGAGATGAAATTTTGCAAACAATATATATATTTTTTGACTAAGGACGAATCTTTTGAAATTGGTGAAAATCGGTTCAAATTTAGATATATCTCCCATATATATCTTTAACCGATTTTGGCCAATGTCACCAAATGGCCAATATCAGTCCAAATTACCTGCATTTGACATATCCGACCGAATTCAGTCTAGAAGCAAGTACATCAAATAGCTATAGCTCCCATATATATGTTTCATCCGATTTGGTGTTTAAGTCCCTCACATTCGTAATATGCACCCCACAAGAATGATGTTTGGTATCAGATATATCCCAGAAATACCAATATTGGGCATCAGTCCAAATTTCCTGGATTTTGGCACTTCCGACCGAATTCAGTCTAGAAGCAAGTACATCAAATTTGGTGAATGTTGGTTCAGATATAGCTATATAGCTCTCATATATATGTTTCCCGCGATTTGATGTTAAAGTCCCTCACATGCGTAATATGCACTGCTCGAAATGATACTGCTCGAAAATACCTCTGTCAAATTTAAATTCCCAGTAGATTTTTTTTGTTACGGGAGCTCTACAAAATACGCATAGTGGGGTAGGGTATCAAATAGTGGAATTGGTTTATTATTCTTAAAGTTGTCTTCGATCCTTACTAATTATTCGTGTAAACGAACGGGTTTCTAGTAAAAAGTTGAAAAAGTACGTTCTAAAACTGAGCTAAATGAAAAAGTGAGACCCGTCCAATTCAATAATATACATGCCTTATGTAAACTTGCTTTGTACAAGCCAGCGCCTACAGGTATGCTAAGAAAAATTGAAATTTCAAATAACTTGTATATTAGGTGGTTTCTTTTTTTCCCTTAATATTTAATCGGAAAGATATTTTCGGAGAGTACGAAAGATGTTTCTTATCTTATCGAACGGAAATCGAACAAGTAAATAAATAACGCTTTGTAAATTCCAGCCGAATTACCATAAACAGGAATAAAACAGTTGATCGAAACAACAATAAATAAAGTGTGATATATCTTATTGAAAACCATCACACTTACCAGACTTTTGCAAAAAAAAATAAATAAAAATAAATATCGCAACACAAATGGACAACACATTTTTTTCTTCCGGAATTGACAAATTTTACATTTGATTGTTTTTGAAGATTTGGACTTTTGTATGTTGGTAGGTTTTAAAAAATGTCAAAATATTCAAAATCTATCATTTATTCAAAATTGTATGCAATGTCTTCATTTATTTTATATTTTTCTTGTCTTTTAAATTAATTTGGATTTTTAGGAAAGAAACTGAAACAGTTTGATTGTTTAATTTCATGAAGAAATCGTTTAACAACTTCAATAAACTTTTCTTAAAATAATTAATTGTGAAATTATTCAATTTTTTTTAAAACAATAAATGCAACACTAAAATAACAGAAGTCGGACACTTGAAGAAAAATTACAAACAGCTGATTGCTTTGTAATACCATTCCCAAGGCCTATATAAACGTTCATCCAAAATTTTGACAAAGCGGTTGATATCACCTGATTCTATTGGAACTAGGACTTGAAGAAATATGCAATTGTGAAATATAAACATATAACAAGTAAAAAAGCAGATAAGTTCGGCCGGACCGAGATTTTAAAATAACTTGAAAATGTTCAAAGAAATTACGAAAAATACCGCTTAGATGATAGCGTGATTACAAAAGACAGACCACATCAGCTGATTTAAAAACATCTGCATTGTGGCCGATTCTAAAATGCTTACATAATTTAGGCCATAATTTACAATTGCTCTGTTCCAAAAACTGCCAAAAATCTATTAGTTTTGCAATGTTTTTGAATATCATAAAAGAAAATCGGTTATCGTGGTAAAAATGTCTACATTCTCGCTGTTCTGGAACAGACCGAATATCTTAATTATTTTTCAGATGTTGTATTATAACTTCAAATAATTTATTTTAAGTTAATTTAGATTTATCTTCCCAATAATTTCAAAATATAACGCATTCATTGTTCGACAACAGCGTTTTCTTGCAAAGATTTCAATAAATGTTGTTCGAAATTTTTTTGCAACATTTGGACTGAAAAAAGTAATTTTTACCAGAAAATTTATCGCACATACCATGGTAGAAGAATATAGGTAGATGCATCAACACCTCGGAACATTGATATGTCAAAAAATTTAAAAATGTTTTTTCAAAAAATAAGTAAATTTCTATATTTTTTCTGATACGACTCCAATCGGGGGTTGTTATGATATGCATTTTTCAACAATTTTAACGAACTTGAATAATTTTTCATTCAACATTTTCAATTTAAACATTGGTTTGACAGTTTATTGTCCCAGCAGATGTGTCAAAGCGACTATCTGTATTCTTCTACCGTGGCACATACCTAATATTAAAAAATTACACCTATCGCTTTAATTGTATTTTATCCCTCTTACGCACAGTACTAACTTAATAATTTTTCATTCAACATTTTCAATTTTAAAATTGATTTGACAGTTCCATGGTAGAAGAATACAGGTAGATGCATCAACGCTTGGGAACATTGATATGTCAAAAAAATTTTAATTGTTTTTCAAAAATAAATAGATTTTTTAAGTTTTCTTATACGGCGCCAATCGGAGGTTGTTATGATATGCATATTACAAAAATTTGTACAAATTTAAATAATTTTTCATTCAACATTACAAAATTGGTTTGACAGTTAATTGTCCCAGCTGATGTGTCGAAGCGACTACATGTATTCTACTACCATGGCACATACCTAAAATTAAAAAAATTTATATCATACCGCTTTAATTGTATTTTATCCCTCTTACGCACAGTACTATACGTCGGCATTGCTCTCCTCACTAACTAGCCCCACTTGCAAATACACGGTATTCACATTTTGTACATCACTATTTTCACGACGCCGGTGTGTCATTTGTCGACTTCGTCCTTTAGTAGAACCTACGAGAAGTAGTAGTGTCGCGGAAAAACAAACAAATATTGGTTACTGTGGCGAAATATTTTTAAAAAAATTATTCTTCTAAACAACAGAGCAACTAAGGACACAAATTAAATCAAAATAAAATCGGTAAATTGAGCAAATTGTGTTAAGGAAAACGTCACATTTATCCACAGATGTTACCAGGCAATGTGAGCGAATGAAAGCGTAGTAAATGTACAAACGGGACAGTGCTATAGTTGCGAATTTGCCATCAGCTGTCAAATGCTAAACGTCATTCTTTTCGGTTTTCGGTGTGTGTTTGGCTGGCAAGTCGTATAAAGTGAAAAAGAGGAAAAGCTAAATTTGTGAAAATCTTCTATTTTCATATCAAGTGTCTGAAATGCGTTTTCGTGATGTTGAAAATTCATGTGGAAATTGTTAATTGCTCTGACAACAACACTGAAAATTAATTTGCCTAATAACGTAGTTCTTCTTTCGTCATACATTTTATAGATTTTCGTCGTTTGTGTTGATTGACAGTGACAAACCAAAATTTTTTGGAAATACAAATACAACAGTTGAAATTTTGACAATACTAAAGGAAAGGAAAACTGGAAGAAAATGCTTATAAATCTAAAAGTGAAAACTTTGGATTCCCAGACCCATGAATTCAGCATTGACAATGAGGTAAGTGGTAGCAAGCACAACCAATGTCAGCACATTACGTTCAGACGTACATATGTTTTGTTTGGGCGAGTCCTTTTCTCTTTTGCATATTCAAAACTATCTATTTTTCGTTTTCGTCGATGTGTGCAACATATTGTGAATTTTTCTTTCCTGGTATTCATAGATCACAGTGCGTGAATTCAAGGATAAAGTGGCAGAGAAGACAAATATTGCTGCCGATCAGCAGCGTATTATATATTGTGGTCGTGTTATGGTCGACGACAAACAATTGAAGGAATATGGTGAGTCATTTGGTGGCGATGGTGTTAGATTGTGTCTAAGCCACTATTTTAAATTTCAGACGTTGATGGTAAAGTAGTACATGTAGCTGAGAGACCTCCTCCGTCTCAACGACTGGCTACCTCCGATTCATCTGGCTCCAATACTACAAGCACGACAAATGAACGTCGAACCCGTGGCAGAACTGGTGCTGGTGGTATGCGCAATTCGCCTTTGTTCCGGGCCTTGGATGGAATGGTAGTCGGTACTATGGCTTTCCCAGTAAATGCAAATGTATGTTATACAAATAAAACAACATAATAGTATCTCTCAAGCAATATCATGCTCAATTAAGCAACGTTACAAACACCTAGAGAACCCGTTTTAATAGAATTTTGTTCCAAATTTTCAGGGCAATGGACAAACTCCTGTAAATCCATTGGCTGTATCATCGTCGTTCTGCATGAATCGTATTACTGTGGCCCGTCACATGCTTGACTGTGCAAATAATATCGCCGCCTATTTGGAAGATCCATCCAGGGTAAGTTATCTGGGCACATAAAATTTGCTTAATTTACACTGATATTGTTTCTCTTACAGGGCTTAAACAATCAATCTCTTGATATATTGGCACGTGGCCGTTGGACTATGGAATCAACTGTGGTCGAAGTAGGTATAACATCGGATATACCACAGAGTCAACAGATTGTGGAAATGGTACAGGGGGCTGTGCAAGCTGCTTTGCGTCGCAGTGGGAATACAAATCTAACACTGGTACAATTGCCCACCGTGTTTAACGCTGGCGAAAGTGATACTAATAATGCTACAGGCACAGCCGCCACTAATGCAACCAGCACAGATACCACAGAACAAACAACACCTGCTGCATCAGTGGTCATTGAGGATATCGATGAAGATGACGATGATGATACCCCAACGAATGAGCAAAATAATACTTCTACCACCACTCAGACCGCCACAGCAGATGCCAACAACTCTGCTGCCAATGAAGAGAATGCAGCCTCAGGCAGCGCCGATGGTTCAGATGACAATAATGGTGATACGTCTCGACGCCGTACAGGAACAAGGGTGCTTGCAAACGTAATTGAACAAATGCGTCAAGTTCAGGCTAGACTGAATCCATTTGTAGATCAATACTATGAATTGTTGCAGAGTGACCAGACGTTTGAGGAAAGTGTAAGTAATTGACAGCAATCGAGTAGTTAGTTACTGCATAATGCTGACTTAATCGAATTTATTAATTGTTTCAGGACACAACTGGTCGTGAAAATGCTCAACGTTTATTTGATCGCGTTTCTGAAGCATTCCACTATTTATCACATGCTCAGCATGCAATTTCTGATTTAATGTTGGATGTTTCCCAAGCTGCGCCCAGATATTTAACATGTCGTCCCATATTAGTAGAACAAAGTGGTTATGTTAGTTCTAACAATTTCATTACACCCGCTATGTTTCCAGCTGCATTGCGCCAAAATCAACAAGCTACTCGTAGTACTACAGCAACTAATAACACAGCGACTTCGTCGACACCTAATACTACGGGTGCATCGAATACAACAGCTTCGTCAGCATCAACTTCCAATACTTCGTCTGCTACTGGGGCAGAATCAAATAATGCTACAGTCGATGATCCAGTTGATGATCCTGTCATCTGGCCAACACCCATTAATTTGGGTGCTTCAACAAATGATAATAATGCAAACAATGCGAATAATGCTGCTGGTCGTGGTAAGATTTTGGTCTCCTCTTTTTAATTGTTTAAGATATGATGAGTTAATTTCTTTTTTATTTTTAAAACCTCGTAAATTTTGAATGTTATAAAATTTAGCACCAGCTCAAGGTGGTACTCTAGAAATTGTTTTACAACCTACACGAGCCTATTATTTAGAACGTATGTTGTTATATGAATAGAAGTTGTTAATGTTGTTTAATAACTAACATTATTAACATACTTTTAAATCGATGCCTTGACTCAGCATAAACTTTTATCGCATCTACTAATTGTTTTAAATTTTATCAAGAACGTCGTACTAAATCCACTAATAATTTACAGTTAAAAAGAGAGTTGAAAATATTAACAATTAGTTGCAAATTTTAAATTGAAAATTGTTATTTTTTTAAGGACAGCGTTAAAATCCTTACAAATATTAGTCACATTTTTGTAACCGCAATAGCTGCTGCAAATGCTCTAAGATTAAACCAACTATGCCATGGTGCCTTTTTAATTTTAAATATTGTTGAGTTTTTCAAAAATTTGTAATGTCTTCCATTTAATGCATGACTTTTCTGGTGTAATTTTTCTTTCAGGCAATTTCCAACGTCAAGTAGCACGCTTGCTGCAAAATGTAGTTAGTGCAGCTCCATTCGATACAGAATTTCATGTTCACATTAATAGTCCAAATGTTGTATCAATTGATGTTCCCATTGGCGGAACTAATGCCAGTGCTCCTGCTCCAACTGCTTCTGGTGCAACCACAGAAAATGCCGCACCAACAACAACATCGACAGCCAGCAATGATAATGCCACAGCAACAACAGCAAACTCAACATCGTCCACAACAGGAAATAATGCTAATCCTGCTCGTGTAACCACGGCTACATTACCAACAACTTCAACACAAACGCGTTCGACATCGCGTCCCCAAGTACACATTGGCAATATACCCGTATTGGGTATGCCACCTGCTTGGAATGGTCGAGTCCTGCCAGCAAATAATGTTTCGTCATTTGACCGTTTCTTGCCATGCAACAGTCATCATGTACGAGACCATCAAGCTAATGCTAATAACGAAAATACTGGCAGAAATCCTAATCAAAATAACGCAAATACATCTGGATCGGTCGGCGCTAATCGCAATAGAGGTAAGATCATTGGATTTCTTTATGTTTTCATAATATCGTCTTGTTGCTATGGTGATGGTATCTTATGTTTAAAAATGTATGTTTATAGGGATGTTGGACATGCTATTATTTTTTATCAATATCATTAAGGCTTTTCAATGTGGATTATACAGTCTAAAACATATAGTAATAGCTTGATGATTTCATTTAGTCCCCCTATTTAGGTCCCATTGAGTCGGCCTTTGTTCAGCGACAAAGTCTGATCGAAATCAATTTTTATACACATGATATATTATCTGGCACCAATTTCCTTACATCTAATGTTTTTGTTATTTTCCTTTATAATCGATTTGAGGTTTTTGTTTTTAATGATTGTATAGCATGCAGAGTTGAGCTCGCTCCCAAAAATTAACAAGACTTTAAAAATAATCCACCAACATAATCCCAAAAACGCACTTAATTCGCAAAATCTAATTCAATTTATTTGAGATTCCATAATCTATCACACCATATGTACATCCATCAGCCAATCATCCTTTCCATCATAAACATGATTGTATTTTTTATTTTGTTTGAAAAAAAACTGTTATAATACATTAGCAAATATTATTACACGTCGCCGTAATATGTCTGAAATGATACAACGTGCACGTCGTGCCATTGCAGCTCGTACAGTTGGCTCAACAATCACAGATCCGCTAGCAGCACGAGCAAACTCCAGTAGTGCATCTTCATCTTCAGGCAACAGTCTACTGTATCAGCTACGTAATCGTAATAATGGAGCTTCCTCTAGCGAAGCCCGCAGGCTAAATATACATAGCCAGTTGATGACATTTATTGAGAATCAAATGTTTAAAGGCGAACCTATAAATGAAGAAAACATGACTCCAGCCATCAATCGTGCTGTCCAATGGTTTGGTGAATCTCTTCTGTATTTACCGCAATATGAAAAGCCCGAATACGATTCAAGGGATTCACTCTTCAATATTCTACGAGCAACTTTGCCAATTGTAATTAATCTAATGAACAAGAATCCAGTGAATTTAGTCGATTTCGAGCAAAAACTTCGAAAGATATGTGAGGAATTTCGAAAACGCTTGTACAGTGTCCTGATCGTGTGTATTGGACGTGCTAATGCAGACATCTATTGGGGTCAACTGATGCGCTTACTATGTGTTTCTATACAAACAAGTATGCAAAATTTACAATTAAGGAAATTGTTTAGAACAGTCTTTATAAACTGCGTTATCTCTTACAGATTTCGATGGGGAAGTTGTGGAATTTTTAACTCTTTATTTGAGTCCTAATATACCAAGTAGTTCCGATGAAAATGATGCCCAACAATTTATTGTACATCGAAGTTCAGCCAACAACAGTAGTAATAGTGTACCCTTGGTAGGTATTCGCTTGGAACATTACAACAAAGTCTAGAATTTATTCAATATTTCTTTTTGTAGCCAATGGATACCGATGACGAAATGGCCGATGTGGCTGGTACTTCTCAGACTGAAGTTGATGATGAACCCCTACCAGCAGTTGTAGCAGGCTCAGCTCCATGGCATCGTAATTTCCCCAATGATTGGTTGCCCATTATAACGCGTGATATACAAAGACAAGCAGAGGTGAGTTGTTTTTAAAAAATGCCAATAAGAGATTTGATCAACATTATTTGATATATTTATTTTATAAGGAGGTTCTTGATACTTCCTTCAAAGTTATGTTATTTGCAGTTAAATCATATTAATAAAAATACTCTAATTTCCCCGTAGAACACGCAAAATCAACCACCCTATTCAGATGCTTACATATCAGGCATGTCATCGAAACGAAGAAAATTGATCCAGCATACAAAACCTCCCACAGAAATTAGAGCCTTAATAGCCGACAGTGTTGGAAAAGCTATACAGAATGCCGGAGTTGGGTCATCAACTTCAGCCAATCAATCACAGACGCCCGATGACATTTCACTAGCAATTGCTAACGACTCAGCTGTACAGTCCATCTGCACTGAAGCCATTCGTACACAAGTGCGTGAGCGACTCAAGAAGGATCCCGACTTTGAACCCGAAAAATATCCCAAATCTGCAAAATTTATACAAAAATAATAAACTAAAAACATCACCTCCTTTTATTAAAACCATGCATCCCCGACATAGTGTAATCACATAATAATATCTTTAAAACACACATACACACACATAAATTGAGCATAAATGGATATATATATATCGATAGGTTCATAAGCTATTTGTGTAAAGAATATTAACCATTGCATTGGCTTTAAACTTTCAAATTCAAAGTGTGATCTTTACAAAAGAAATAAAGAGTTTTAACTAAAGGAAAGCTTGGCAATTGTAATGGTTTCACTTACATATGTATTTTAAATTGTTTTCTTTTTTTCATACTTAGGGGCTAATTTGTATGTAATTGATTGATATGAAAAAAAATTAATGGAAATTATTGCGTCTTTTCTTTGATAACAGAAATGTTGATTTAATTAAAACATTCACCATATTTTTTTGTTTAAGTTAGTTTATTTAATTATGAATTTGTTTAATTTTGAATTGTGTAATTTCGTTTTGTGCAAGTGATGAAAAACACCCAACACATATATACGAATTGATATTTAACTACATAAAAAAGGAAAAATGTTTTTAAACAATATGGAAACAAAAAGAAAAAGATATGCCGACAAATAAATTGAAAACAAAAATACACCTAACTATAAAATGTGTATATTCATGTTAATTATACATCTATGATTGTGTTTAAAAACACAAATCGACCATTAATGCACCATTAATAAAAGTGACATTATTTATTCTCAGTACATTGGCCTACAAATAACTTAAAATAAACAACATAAATTTGAAAAATTTTGCAATTTTGGTGCAAAGTGTTCGATAACAACATAGATGGGCATATAATGCATTCAAATCATAATCGAAACATAAAACATCCAATATTCACTAGAATTTACAAGGATATATTTTGTAAAAATAAGAAGTCCAAAATTTTAAAGCAAGCTTTGCTGCTGCATTGGGAAAAGACAGTCAAATAAAACTATCCGAAAAAGTGGTAATAACACCCTGAAAACTCAACTAGAAACACATAACACATGCGACAACAACTAGTATTGAATATACATATACGAGTATATTATCACATCTATGTATAGCGCACTTTAAACTAAGGCAAATAAAAAATTATATAAATAATCAAAAAGACATATTTTATTTCTTTTTAATGGGTACTATGGCGCATTTTAGAAAATGATTTTTTTTATATCACAAGGTGGATTGTGTTAATTTTTTTTGTGTAAATAGCTGCAACGTTCCATCGTTGCTGCGCAAGGTTTGGAAACTCTCAAGTCATGTTTATCGCTAAACCGAAGGGTTTTTTTTCCAAACGAAGTGACTGAGTAACTGGAATTTTCTTTGTTTAACACCCCTTCTTAATACGCACGCCTTCGACGTTTTTCACCACAATAGAAAGAATTTTAGAATTTTTATCTCCTTTTATTGGGTCAGGCCTTACGAATTTGGGTAATACGTCGGTGCGAAACATTTTACCATAGTGGGGAAGGTAAGTACAATTTTTGTATGGAGCGTCGAGTAGTTTGTAGGACTTTAAGAATGATTCAATATCATCAGTTTTGAGGCCGATGTAAAAAAGTTTAAAAAGGGCTCACCATGGAAAAAAATTTCCAAGCAAAAAAGTCGATTTGGAGCTTCTGAGGAGTTCTACTTCTTGTGGCAGTCACAGCAAAATTTTAAAAATGATACAATTCTTCCCAATTTATCGTATTCCAAATGCATACATTCAAATTTTTTATACCCTACAACACAATGTGACTGTGTGTTGGGGGTATTATAAGTTTGATTGGGCCAAAAATTATATAACACCTCGAGATATTGATCCCCGACATAGGAAACTATATATATCTTCCTATTTCGCCGAGCTGAGCCGATCTAGCTATATACGTCCGTCTGTCCATGTTAAATTGTAATCACTCTACAGGTCGCACTTATGGCCCGATCCTCACGAAGTTGAAAATAGTGGTGGGGCTAGGGTCAGCATAAAAGCCAATTGTTTTTAGAGATGATCGCGTAATATTTAAAATGGACCAAAAACAAGAAAATTTTCCTGATTTCGCAGTTGATCTACAGGTCGCAATTATAGACCAATCAACCAATCGGAATTTAGCATTTATCCTACCATTTTGGCGGGTAAAATAGCCCATAACTTTTATATAAAAAATACGAAAATTTCCACTAAACCGTGAATATTTTCAAACCTGGCGAAATCACAAACGAACGAAAATGTCACTTCTGACATTGATGCTCATATCCAACATATCGCAAATATAGCAAGATATATACAATCTCGTATATCAATGAAGGGGATGTTAGTTTGACCGCTTATAACTCCAGAACCGCTTGACGGATTTTGACAATTCTCACAAATTCGACATGGCCTCTTGCTAGAAAAGTATAAATCCCAAGAAAATCGCGTAATAATATGACAATAAATAAAAAAGTGAATATTTTACTTAGTTTTTATACCCTACAACACTATGTGTTGGGGGTATTATAAGTTTGATTGGGCCAAAAATTATGTAACACCACGAAATATTGGTTTCCCACATAGGAAAGTATATATGGATCATCCTAGCTCGCCGAGCTGAGTCGATATAGCTATGTATGTCCGTCCGTCCGTCTGTCCATGTTAATTTGTAATCACTCTACAGGTCGCAATTATGGCCCGATCTTCACGAAATTTGGAATGGAGGCCAGAATAGAACCCTATTTCTTTTTGAGATGATCGCCAAATGTTTAGGGGTTGAAATGGACCAAATACTGAAAAAATGTCGGATTTTGCAGTAGCTATACAGGTCGCAATTATAGACCAATCGACGCGGAATTTCGCATGTAGCTAGAGTTTAGGACGGGAAAGAAGCCTACCAATTTGGGTGGTCATCGGATAATATTTAGCGGGTAAAATAGACCATATATTTTGTGTTGGAAAATTCAAAATTTTTCATTAAACCGCGAATATTTTAAATCCCGGCGAAATCACAAAGCCATGGCAAGGTTACTTCTGACCTTTACATTGATGTTAACATCCAACAAATCGGATATATAGCAAAATATGTGCGATATATATGTTTATCAAAGAAGATATGCTTGAAAGATCTCTTATATGTCGAGAACGGCTGAACTGATTTCGACAGATGTGTTTTATTCGGAATGGCCTCTTGGCAGGAAAGAAAACACGTCTAAAAAAATCGCATAAAAATATCTCTCTAAAGATGAAAATATTGATTTTGTAAAATTTTCTCATATTTTTTCAATTTTGTCATACTTTTGGCATATTTTCATTTTGAATTAATTTGGTACTATTTCTACAGCTAACAAAACTAAGTATTTAGGATATCAGGATATCATATACAGATCGCATTTATGGGCCGATCCTTACGAAATTTTGCATGGGGATAAGATGAGGGTCAGAATAGAAGCCTACTCTTTTTGGAGAAGATAAAAATATTCAATGTGTGAAATAGTTTGCCAACTTTTGTAGACAAAATACGAAAATGTCCATTCCAGTGACTTTTTGGAGAATTCACAAATACAGGAAAGACGCACTTCTGACTATTTCGTTAACGAATATAGTCAAATGTCTGTATCTCATATAGATGCGTTTCAGTCAAAAACCAATAATAAATGTTAATCTTTTGCCACTTCTTTATAGGTCTTTGGGAAATATTGGTTCCAGATCTAGGAAGACCATTTAAGTGCAACATCTACCAATAAATTGGAAATCAGCAAATTAGTTTAAGTTGCTATTATTCGAAAATTAGAGAACGAAACCTGATGGTTTTCTTTTATAATTTGTCACAATATCTTGTGGAATTCTTTCGAGTATCTCGCCTATATAAACTGTATCGTTTATTATAGTGTTGTAGGGTATTCAACGGTCGGCCCCGCTCGACTGTAGCCTTTGCTTACTTGTTTTTTTTTTTTTTTTTTAATTTTTGTCATATTTTTGAATTTTACGTTTGGTTATATTTGTTCACTTTACAACACTATGTTGTGGGAGAATTATATTCAAGTCGCAATTATTGTCTGATTCTTAAGAAATGTTGCATGGGGATTTGTCAAATTGCAGATTAAGGGGTTCAAAGGAAACAAAAATTAAAATTTTCCTCATCTTGTAGTGGCTCTACAGGTCACAATTAAAAACCCAACGTCACGAAATTTTGCATGAAGTTAGGGCTTAGGTCAGCACAGAAATGTAGCATTTTGGAATTATACTTAGCGTATAAAATGAACCACAACTTTTGTGTGTAATTGTTTTGGATACCTATCAGCACGATATAGAGTGTATATGTAAGGAAAATATCGCCGGTAAAAAACCAGAGATAAAATTTGTGCGGGACTGTATGGCATTATTTCAAATAATCGACTAAGATGTGGGAGGTTTTCCAATACATTATAGTGTTGTCGGGCATCACATGGTCGGCCGCACTACTATAGACTTTGCTTACTTGTTATTATTGATTTTTATTTTCACCATGTTCGATGTATTTCGGTACCAGTCATATAAATAAATGTATTCAATATTTCACATTTTAGGAGAGTTACATTTATTAAAAATGTTGATCATTTGTGGGTGATGTATAAGACTCCATCTCTGACACTGAAACTGTTTCAAAAGAGGTGAAACTGTTTCAAGAGAGTGCAGATTTTTTCCACTTGCTCTTATACTGGTATATTGGGTACGAAGTTTGAGAATATCGGGCTCTAATTCAAAAGTTCTGGTGGGGAGGTATTAAAACAAGTGGATATATTTTTTCGAAGGGTCTAAAAAATTCAAAGATAATCGATTTTTATGAGAACATTTATTTTTTGAAATTAGATAAACGTGTAAACTTTAAAAAACCTTTAAAGCTCGTAGCTGTGGCGCAGTGTTTTAATATACGTCAGAAGATTGCAAATTCGATCCTACCGGCGGGAAAAATAAAAAAGAGGATTATTGTAGTTCTAAAAATAAGACCGTGGCAAAATTACATAGAACAAATTTATTTATTTGTCGTTTCTTAGTGGTAAAAAAAACTCCTTTTTTCGGGCGACATAAATTTGAAAAATTATGTGGTAATATTAGTTCTTGCAGGGTATGAATATAAAATATTAAAAGTGAACCAACAAATGTAATTTACATTGTTTTCTTAAAGACGTATAGGGAATCTATTTATTCTTGCCTAATTTGTTATTAATAATTTTAATGTTACCAGTATTGGGATTCTCCAACTCGTTTTTTGAATTACCGACAAAAAGCAGTAACTTTAAAACCAAAATATTGGTATAAAAATGAAGTTAAATTTGACAACATTGGTATCCATCGGTAGGTCTTAGCGACTACTTTGGTTACCGAAATTAGAAGCACTTTAATCTAACTTATTTTTGAGTTACCGACTTTTGTCGGTAAGTTAGAGAATTCCACTACTGATTCCGAGTTTCACTTCTATGCCCTTTGCCATATATAGTAAGGAGCATGGTACAATAAAGAGGTAGATACAGCCCTATGGCTATGCCCGCTTCCTGTCAGACTCATTCAAGATTATATGCAACAAGTTGTTTTCATTTTTTCATATTTTTTCTCATTTTTAAAAAGAATTAAAT